TAAGCGTGGATCCCGTCGAGTACGACGGGCGTGAGGGGTGCTAATACCTTCCCCTCGCGTAACCGACTCCCGAATCCAGGATTTGGTTGCGATGGCCATTCCTTTCCCGTCTTTGCGGTAGGTTTACTTCGAGCGTTTCCTTTCCCTCCGTCGGGATGAATAACGCACGGTGGCGACTCTTCTGTTCAGCCGGCGCCGATTTTCGCAGTAGCAACAATAATGCCATGCCTTTTGGGCTAAAAAACCAAAAGTCGCCTATTAAAGGCTTATGCAATGTGTATTTTCAAAGAATACAAGGTGTAACCTATAAGTGTCCATTTATGATATGATTATGAATACATAAGAAGGGGAAGCTATATTACATACCAAAAAGACATCCTGGAATGAGTCATGAGGTATAACATGCGCTCAAGTCCCGCCAAATGCTCTTTTGGCGTACAAGCAAGTGAATTCATATGATTTATATTAACAAATATAGGAATATTTGCTAACTCAGATAAGTGTCAAAACATTAGGAGTCCATATAATGTAAAAGAGGTTCAAAAACTAACATGTCATTTAGCCGCCCTAACCCATTTTCTTTATTATGTGTGTGACAAAGCATCATAATTCTTCATTACCCTAAAAAATAAGAAGAAGTTTGAATGGACGAGCGAGTGTGAGAAATTTTTCTCTAACCTGAAAACCTTCCTGGAAACGCCGTCCATATTGACATGCCCTGTCGCAGGCATGCCCCTATATTTGTACCTATCTATCACTTATTAGGCAATAAGTTCCATGTTCATCTTGAGGAAAGAAAAAGTTAACCAGCCTATAAATTCTTTAAGAAAGGTGTTCTAGGGTATTGAGGCAAGGTACTGGAAGATTGAAAGGATCACCTTGTCGGTCGTGGTAACTGCAAGGAAACTCATACCCTATTTTCAAGGGCATTGTGTTATGATCAACTATCATATTTGATAAGTTTTGAAGAATTCAAGTCTCGCATTCAAAATGGTATTCTAGGAACTTGAGTTATTTGAGTACGATATACAATATATCCTATGAAGAAGTATCAATTCTCAGGTGCTAGCTAATTTTTTTGGTAGCGTTTAGTTTGCCATTAGGCGAGAAGAAATCCCACACATGGATACTATATAGGCGGTGCTTCAAATCGAAAGGCAATTGATGCCAAAGTAGTGTTAGAAGGACCAAATGACTAATTGATTGAACAATATCTGAAGTTTGAATTTAATGCTAGCAACAACCAGCTTGGGTATGAAACCCTCATTATCGACATGGTCAATGCCCTATAGATGGTCGCTTCAAGTCTGAAAGCCAAAAGTGACTCATAGTTGGTGGCAAATTAGGTATTCGGGGAATATCAGACAAAATAATCCAAACTCATCAAAATCTAAAAAGGTATGTGACTTATTTGAACCCTTAAATATTTTGAGAAAACTCATGTTCATTGGGAACAAAACTCAATGGCAAACCTCCTCTCTAAGCCTGCAAGCATAAAAATAGCAGGACACAACCACACTCTGGTTCAAGAGACTCTCACTTCCCCTTAATATTGAGGCAGACGAAACCAACATCTTTGAAGTCGCTCAGGCCACTGGCTAAATGACGCCTATAATACGCTATCTACAGTCAGACAAACTACCACTAGACGAGTTAAAAATGAAAAAGATTCAAAAGCATACATGTAATTCTACTTATGCTTTAATATTGACGAATCTTTCATGTTTAATGCTTGTTTTGAATTAGCTACTTAAAACATATTTTCATAATTTTGATTTGATATCAAGAGATACTTGTCAATTCTAGATCCAAAATTTGCATCTACTAAATCCTAAATTTTAGAGATAAACTTATGTTTATTATCCTCATAGATTATCAAAACATAATTTTGTTGTATTAGTTAATAGATTTAGAAATTATCTATTAGCTAATATAATTGATTTCATGTTGTTTACTTAAAATGAACTATGACGCAGAGTGATGATATTAATAGTTGGTTAAAATAGCTCGATGAAATCTAACTCCAACATTTTTTTCTCAATTGTTAACACCAAAGTTAAATTTATTTTCTTTTATTCCAATTTCACACACAAATAAACTTTGACAACCTAACTTTAAAATCATAGAAACTATTAAATAGTTTTTGGAAACACAACCGTCCTTATGGAGAAAATAAAAATACATACTCACTATTGTATAACATGTGACACACATTTTAAAAATAAAATATGTTTACAATCGCCATTAAGAGGTGAAATTCAATCAATGACAATCACCTTAATGGTCTTTAATGAGTCTTTAAGTGTTTAGACTCTCAAAGCTAATATATAAGTTAGGGATCATCGAATGGAAAAATATATGCATTATTCATAAAACATAATTTTTAAAACGAAAAATTATCATTTTTTACATATTATTATTTCTAAAACGAAAAATCATCATTTTTTGAGTTAAAAATTTAAGACGAGACCAAAATAAATATAAACAACATTTTATTTTATTTTTAAAAGTTCAATAGTGTTATCAATGTAAAATAATTTTATATTACCTTTTAATAAAAAATCATATGTGTAAATTAATTTCAATATACAATGCCATTAGTATAAAATTATTTCATATTGTCAATTCATCTTTTATTTTCTCTTTTAAAAAAATAAAATATTTTCGCAAGCTAGCAAGATAGTTATAAATCAATATTACAATAAAATAAAATAAATGTTTAATGTTTTTTCTTGTATGTTAACCTCAAATTCATATGTTCCTTAATTTAAAAAAAGTTTATATTAATCTAACTAGTAATAAAAAAACTCAAAAATTAATTGTTAAATTCGTCAATAATTAGATAAAACAAAATTAACATAATATATTTTAGAGTTAAGGGTCTTTTTGGTTAAAGAAAAGAGAGAGATTTTAATAAAAGGGAGGGGATGAGAGTTTCTTTAATTAAATGTATATTTGATTTAAAAGAGGGAAAAAAGAATTTTTAATCAAAAATATGTTTGGTTTAAAAGAGGAGTAGAGAAGGAGAGATAAAATTTTTAGTTAAAAATATATTTGGTTCGCAAAGGCAAGAAAAAAATTTTAAAATTACTTTACTTTTTTATCCTTAAAATATTACGACACTCGTGTTAAATAACATAAAACAAAATAATATTAAAAAAAAGAAATTTGTCACACAAAAATAAACAATATAGATAATCAAACACAAAATATTAAATATTTCAAATGCTCTAAAATATATATAAAGTATAAATAAAATATTGATAAATTTCATAAAATCATTAATCTTCAAATGAACAATCTTTTTATCTCGATGAAATATCTATTCATATAAAATATTTATGAAATTAAATTATACATAATATATAACTCATATACTACAATTATATATCGATATTTAATACAATACAACAATTTATAAAAAAAATTTAATTATCATAAACAAAATAATTAGAAAAAATAATAAAATAAAACACATGAAAAAAAGAAAGAAACTTGAGTCATAATAATATAAATAATAGAGTTATCGTTAAAAAATATTGGGATATTTTAATAAAATAGCAAGTTAAGATATATTAATATTTATTAGTGATAATTTAGGATTTTATAATAAAAAAATGAAAAATAAATTTTATTATAACTCAACTTTAAAGAAAAAACTTCTTAAAAAGGGATTCAATTACTATTTATATAAATATTTAATCAAACTTATGTAATTTAAAATATTCTCTCTTTTTCCACATATTCTTCAAAAAAACCCTAATCAAAAGGATTACAAGAGTATGATTATCTATTCATTTTCATCGCTGTTTCACTGCTACCTAGATATCCATGTCAGAGTTATATGAATTATTAAGATTTAAAGCAGACATACATTTACGACATAGATAATTAAGATTCAAACCATGACATACATTTACAAAGGCTCACATTTATGATGTGAGAGTCTTCTTTAGCTTTTTCTACAGCCAGTCAGACCAATTAAAAACAATTGTAATACATTGATAATATATTTATATTTTTGTATTATATAAATATAAGGTATTTTGTGGGATTTGGTGAGATCTATTTTAGAGTTTTTTATTGGGTTTTATGAATATTTGAAAAATATAGTAGAATTGTTTAAAAATAAGAAAGTGTAATATAATATAAAAAGTTAAGTATGTCCGATTTAAAGAACGCAAGTGAGAATGATGAATATGGGTACTTTAAGACTATGTTTGGATATTATAAAATGAAGCGAAATAGAATGAAGTGGAATGAAGCGGAACGAAATGAAATAAATATGCCGCTCCATGTTTGAGTATTTTATGACGGAATATTGAGATTTTGTCATTCTATCTAAATTAGAGGGTAAAAAAAAATGATGGAAAATAATAAAATGCATTGCATTCGATTCTGCTCAATTCTATTTTTTTAATCATTCAAACAATAAAACTTAATTTCATACCATTCCATTTCATCAATTAAAACATATCTTAAAAGACAAATGAATTAATGAAGATTTTTAAAAAATAAAAAAATAAAATAAATGTATTCAAATAAATTCCAAAATTAAGATATATAACTAAATCGTGTAACAACACAGTTAAATAAAACAAAAAAACAAATAAGCAAAAGTAATTTACCAACAAAAAAAAATGGAGACCGAAAAACCCTACGCCAATGTTTGCATAAAAATAACGAAAATGAAAAATCCTATATAAACCAAAACTCGTAACCCTAGCTTCACTTTCACAGACCCATATATTCTTCACACTGCCTCTCATTTCATCGAATCTTCGCCAAAAAAACCCTTTTCTTCCTCACTGATTTATCGCGCCACTCTCATCATTTTCATTTCTGCACTGTAATTGATGCTTCAATGTTTAATTTCAATGCTTTAAATTTGTTTTTCGTCGTAATTGTTTTGCTACTCAATTCGGTAAAAATGGGATTTAATTTTTTTGAAATTTAATTTGTGGTTTTCAGAAGTATCACGATTCAACCGGTGAGGTACCATGTCGGATGATGAAAGGGAGGAGAAGGAGTTAGATCTCTCTTCGTCTGAAGTTGTCACCAAATACAAAACTGCAGCTGAGATCGCTAACAGTATGTTCATCACTCTATCAATGTCTTTTAATTTAGGTTTTCGTTAATTGTTAGATTAGATGCATAAATTTATTGAATTTAGCTAATATTTGTAATTGTTATGCGTTTTTATGCATTTTAATGTTGAATTTATTTATATATATTTTTTTTGCAGAGGCTTTGAAGTTAGTTATTTCAGAATGTAAACCTAAGGCTAAGATTGTCGACATTTGTGAGAAAGGAGATTCATTTATCAGAGAGTAAGTATATATTATTATGTAACTAATCTCCTCTTTGATAATCATTGTTTGTTGTATGTTATTTTAGCGTGTTGTATATTATTACTTTATTTCTTGTAATTTTGTTAGAGGCATGTGCCTAATATCACTATATTTTATTGCTAGGATGGATATATTGTGTTTGGCATTGTTATTTGTTTGTAATTGCTGTGTTAATATTTTAATGTTATTTGAATTGTTTTTTTGCTAATGATGTTTTTTTTGGTGTTAAGACAAACTAGTAATGTTTACAAGAATGTGAAGAAGAAGATAGAAAGAGGTGTAGCTTTTCCAACTTGCATATCTGTGAACAATACAATCTGTCATTTTTCTCCTCTAGCCAGTGATGAGACAGTGTTGGAAGAAGGTGATATACTGAAAATGTAAGATTTTTAGAGCATAGTTGGGGTTTAATGATGGGAGAATTTGTTTTGGCTATTTTCTGAAAGTTGATAATGATTTGTATTTTTTCTATGGTTGCAGTGATTTGGCTTGTCATGTAGATGGGTTCATTGCTGCAGTGGCTCACACTCACCTTCTTCAAGAAGGTCCGGTTACTGGGAGAGCAGCTGATGTCATTGCTGCTGCAAACACTGCTGCTGAGGTGGCCTTAAGGCTTGTTCGGCCAGGAAAGAAGGTAATCAATTGTAAGATTTCCCCCCTCTTTAGATACATTTTTTATGATGAATTGAATTTGATTCTATTGCATTTATCTTTCTTGTTCCATAGGTATATAGCTTTTAAAACATAGACAAATTTAAATTTGGCGGTGTAAAATGATAGAAAAATTAGATTTCTTTGTTTTCTTGTAGCTGAGGGATTCTTTTGTCTTGTGGATTTTGATTTTCTAAATGATGAAAACTATCATGAGCTAGGATAAACTCCAATGAAGCTGTATTGTCATAGTTACACTGATAGAGGTCATTTATGAATTTTCTTATGCTGTCCTGCTAACCAAATAGCGGCACAGAGTCATCCTTGTGACTAGTCTCTTGGCTGAAATATCTAGTTTATCATGTTGTTTGGTTTGTAATTTTGAGATTTCTTGTTCGTTACTTGATTCCTCTTGTACATTTTACTGTACCAACGTCATTTCTATTTCAATTGAAATTATAGAAAAAAATCTTAGTTGGATCTGTTTCATTAAACCCAATTTTTCAGTTACTCTCAGAACTATCTAATTTTTGTTTTTACATTATAACTTATTTGAAAATTTGATTTGATGAGCTGATCTCTATATGATGAACACATCATTGGCTATGGATAAACTCCAATGAAGCCTGTTTATGTCATAGTTACGCTGATGGAGAATCATTCATCCTTGTTTCATACATTCCCACTTCCTTTGGCTGCATTTTCCCCTTGTTTTGCAGTTTCTCTCTAAACTATCAGTTTTTGTTTTTTTTACTTTTATAGTGTTTAAAAATTTGTGTAAATTTGATTTGATGAGCTGATCTCTATATGATGAACACACCATAGGCTATGGGTAAACTCCAATGAAGCCTTTTTATGTCATAGTTACACTGATGGAGAATTATTCATTCTTTGTTTCATAAGTGCCCATTTCCCTTTGGTTGTTGTGTCTATTTTGGCTTTGCCATAATTGAACAAATTGATTTTTTCTCTATTTTCAAGATTAAATATGATTACATAGCGAAGCTTCATCTTTGTACATTTGATACTCTTAATCATGATAAAACTCGAAAAGAGGCAACTTTGCCGAGGTGATCAAACCATATTGGTTTCCTCTTTTTCCCTGTTGCCAAAACTTGAATGGCTGGAGCTAGTTTCATGCTGTTCTGATTTATACATTTCAGTACAATTTCTAGTGCAGCCAACATATTACAATATTCAACAATTACATAACAATTGCATGTAGAGAAGTGTGAGAATTAGTTTGATTGAAAAATTCATACTCTTACATATAATGATAAACTGTTGCATAGGCAACTTTGCCGAGGTGATCAGAACTATATTGGTTTCCTCTTTTTCCCTGTTGCCAAAACTTGAATGGCTGGAACTAGTTTCACTTTGTTCTGATTTATATATTTCAGTACAATTTTCTAGTGCAGTTAACATATATTTCAACATTCAAACAATTTCATATCAATTGCATGCAGAGAAGTGAGAATTATTTTGATTGAAACACATAGCAAGTATTAAAATTTTCAAATACTTCTCTTGACAGAACAAGGATGTAACGGATGCAATTCAAAAGGTTGCTGCTGCCTATGATTGTAAAATTGTTGAGGGTGTTCTAAGTCACCAACTGAAGCAGTTTGTGATTGATGGGAACAAGGTTGTGCTTAGTATCTCTAATCCAGATACAAGGGTTGATGACTTTGAGTTTGAGGAAAATGAAGTTTATGCAATTGACATAGTTACAAGCACAGGAGAAGGAAAGGTTGGGCTAATTTCGTTAATATATATTTTCTGCATGATTTAGAATCATATGATTTATTTATTAAAAGTATGTTTTACCAAACCCTTGTAGCCTAAGTTGTTGGATGAGAAGCAAACAACCATTTATAAGCGGGCTGTTGACAAGAGTTATCACTTGAAGATGAAAGCATCTCGATTCATTTTCAGTGAAATAAGCCAAAAATTTCCAATCATGCCATTTTCTGCTAGGTAACTCCTAATTGTGCAATTTTAATACTGTCGTCAAACTCAAGTTCTAATTTTCATCAACTTTGTTCTCTTAAACTTACAATTCTTTTATTATAGGGCTTTGGAAGAGAAAAGAGCTCGACTAGGTTTAGTGGAATGTATGAATCATGAGCTCTTGCAGCCATATCCTGTTTTGCATGAAAAGCAAGGTAAGTTGGCATCATTATCTAATAATTCTCACTGGTGTTAGTAATCCCCCGAGCCTGAATATTGTTTTTTCTTACCAGGTGATTTTGTTGCACACATCAAATTCACGGTCTTGTTAATGCCAAATGGATCTGACCGTGTCACGTCTCACCCTCTCCAAGAATTGCAGCCCACAAAAACCATAGATGATCCTGAGATCAAGGCCTGGCTGGCATTAGGCACAAAGACAAAGAAGAAGGGCGGTGGAAAGAAGAAAAAAGGTAGGGATCATGTTATGATGCCATGTTTTATTGTATCATATCATATGCTTTCTACTACACAATTTTTGCTTAACAAATGATTTTTGGTGTTGTTTGCATAGGTAAGAAAGAGGACAAGGCTGATGCGTCAGTTGAAGCTGCGCCACAAGACTCAACTAATGGGGCCACACCTAAGGAATGAGTTAACACCCTCCCCCAATCTCAAAAATAGAAATGTTTTTCATTTCAATTTTCTGACACACCTTTCAATTTTGGTTCACTGTTCACTAAATTGTATCTGGTTGGATATGAATTTAGTATAGTGTATGGACATCGATTCAAATAGCAGCTTTCGGTGTACTTTTTAGTCTCAAATACCAACTACAAAACCAAGAAAATGTTTGGAGATATGGATTGTCGGTGTATGTTAAAATTTCGATAAGTTTCCAAATCTCTGTTCTAGGCTGATATAATATGCTTATTGAATTAGAATTTGATTAATAAATTCGAAAGGGTGCAACAATGGTATAAGACTAAAGTTTTAAGACTGAGGCTGTTTCCATATTTTTTTATAGGAACGAAGATAAGAAAACTCACATTTATAGTTCACGGCGAGTTTTTATGAATGTAAATTACTCATTACACCCAATCAGACACTCGCACTTTGGTGAAATTCTTAAGTAACTTAATTTTGGATTTTAAAATACTGATGCACTTAATATACAACAAGCCATCTTTAATTTTGGAGATTGGAATTTGTATAATAGATTATGAAGATTGGAATTTGAATGTATTAAAAAACTAATAAGATATTTGAATGAGTTAAGATTGAGATTTTTTTTTTAGAATAACCTTTTTCATTTAAAATATCAAATAAAAACAAAATTAAAAAAAATATCAAAATGACTATGTTTGTACATTGAGTCGTCATATAAAATGGCTCATCAAAGTCACCTTGACCTTAGTTGCCATTTCATACGGTGTAAGAGTATAACTCTGTAGGAGTCGCCATTTCATACGGCGCAAGGGTATAATTCAAAAACTCTGTAGGAGTCGTCATACCATTTTTATTTTAAAATTTTAATATTTGTTTTATAAAATAATTAAAATTATTTGTTATATTATATATATATTTTAATAATATTTAATTATTTTATCACTTTTTATTTATTTTGTTTTTAGTTTTTAATATTTGTTTTAAAATTTTATTAAAATTATTTGTTATATTTTTAAATTATAATATTTAATTATTTTATCACTTTTTTATTAAATTTTTTTTAAATTTATAATATTTGTTTTAAAAATTGATATTTGATATTTTTAAAACATGATAAATATAATTCATGATATTTTAAATTTTTGATTTTTTATATTTGTTTAAACCCTAGGTTTTTAATTTTTGATATTTGTTGAAAAAATAAATAAATTTTGTAAGGGTATTTAAGGCATATCATATGGCACCCGTACTATTTTATTTTTCTATAAATAAGACAGCACACTCATATAGTTTTCCACAACAATTTTTACCAAAAGACTTAAATCTTCATAATTTTGAATTCAATTTAGAATGTCTACATTTCTAAATCAACGTTCATCATCGTCGTCGTCATCACCATCGGAGGAACCATTTCCAACAAGATTCTCTTTGCATGCCTACCGTCTGCACTCTGATTCTATGCATGCCTACAAGATTCTCTTTGATAAATGTATACACATGGCTACAGTATCCGTCTGCACTCTGCATGCCTACCGTCTACACTCTGATTCTATGCATGCCTACAAGATTCTCTTTGATAAATGTATACACATGGCTACAGTATTTGTCTGCACTCTGCATGCATGCTTGACAACACTCCAATGACCAAGAATCATGTGAGACAAGACTGCACTTGCATGCATGCTTGACAACACCACACTTTAGCATAAGATATATTTTTGCTGCACTCTGCATGAATGACAACACTACACTAATGTTTTTTTTACCTCACCTGCATGACAAGACTACACTTGCACGCTTCCCTTCACCCATGTCACATGCATGCTTGACAACACTCTGCATGAATGACAACACCACAACATGCATTTTCATGTGACTCTTGTACTTAGAAACTTGAACACTTCAGCATGCATTTTCATGTGACTCCTGCACTTAGAAACTTACACACTTCAGTATGTGACTCATCTCATCACATTTGACCATTATAAATACATGTTCATCAAGGAACAAACTCTTCTCATCCCATTACCAGCTCTACTCCTCATACGTTCAACAAAATCTTCTTGTCACCCTACAAACTTCACTCAGTAAACTTCACCCAACAAACTTAACCCACAATGTCTCTACTCACAATGGACAACGATCACAGATGCACAATTGAGAACATCGTAGAGTTTGTAAGTATTTTTCTTTTTGTTGTAGATCTTTACGAAGTTTAATTTTCCTTTAAACCTAATGGCATTTAAATTCTTTTGCAGGATGTATCAAGGTTTCGCTGTCCTGTGCATGACTACATACCACACGACCCTTTAATAGAGAGATACCTTGAAGCATGTGGGTTCGGTGATTTGATCAAAACTAAATCGTACTCACTGGATCCCAAATTTATTCTAGCGTTGTTAGAATGCTGGAGACCAGAAACACACACATTTCACTTACCTTTCGGTGAATGTACCGTAACTTTACAGGATGTATACATGTTACTTGACCTACACATCAACAATAAGGCCTTCAATGGCAAAGTTGGTGTTAATGACCAACTTTGCGAAGATTTACTGGGCGCCCCTCCATGTGTCGACACACATCATCCAAAACGCGAGGGTCGACTTAGGGGGCAAGATATTAATTTGAAATACCTCAGACAACACTACAATAGTATCGTGTTAAATGAGGAATTCATCGAGTATGAGAAGATACTTAAAACTCAGTGCTATATTATGATATTGTTTGGCCATTTTTTATTTCCAGACAATACTGGAAATACTGTAAATATTATGTATTTACCGTTGTTGCACAACATTAATAAAGTGTGCACATATAGTTAGGGTTCAACTGTCCTCACCCATCTGTTGCACCCCAAAATTTGCTCAACCTTTTTCTACCTGGTTTATGCTTCATTGCATTTCATTTGCATAGTTACATCATTCACATAGTTCTAATCATTTACATGTCATAGCATATCACTCATCCAACAGGGGATCAAGTGTGATTCTTATTAGAAGAAGCATAGCAAGAGGTCTTATCCAAGTTTGAGAGATCATCCAAGCCATCAAGAAGTGATTTGAAGTCTTGAGAAGTTTGAGTGCCTACATGTGGGTTTTGCTCCTATCTTGAGGAATGTTGAGAATCATCAGTGGGATGTGAAACATGGAATGTGAATTTGAGGTGTGTATGGATCTCATGGAATGCCTAGAGGGCCCTATTGAAGCTGAGACAAGTCATTGATTCAAGTACAAGAGCCACAGTTGAGGTGCAGTCAACTAGGGTTTCATCTGGGTCAATCCTAGGTCAATTGAGTAATTGAAGAGCATCAAAGCCTACTCTGAGGTCATGGGATTCATGGATTGGTATGTTGATACATGGGTGGTGTTGTGCCAAGATTAAGCAAAGAAGAATCAAGAATGTGGGAAGTTGCTAAATTAGGGTTTCAGTGCAAATCACCCTGTTTAGTGCCTAACTTCAAAGCCACATAAGTAAAAATACAAGTTTCAAATGGATCTTTGGCCAACATGAAACTTGTAGAGCATCTCAATACCTTTAATTTGAGTACTATAAGTCCTCAAGAGTATTTATAGAACTCAAGTTATGGTTCTTGCAAGTTACAGGTCATCAGATGACTATGAAATTTATCTGTGAAAGTCACTTGACTTCCAAGCAACTTTTTCCCTTCAAGGAGTTTTCAAATGGATTTTTTGCAAACATGAGAGTTGTAGATCTTGTTATTAGCTTTCTATAGAGTACTAGAAGTCCTTGATAGGATTTGTAGAACTCACGTTATGATCTTTGCAAGCCAGAGGTATTTTGGGAAAGTGAGATTATAGGTCACTTTGGATTATAGGTCCATAACTCTAACTTGCAAGCTTCAAACGGAAAATTGTCCAACATGGAACTTGTTCAAAATGATGTTTTGAGTGCAACAAAATTGTCATGAGAGTTTGGTTTGGCTTGTAACAAGAAGTCATTTGAAATGGTTTTGAAAGAAGGAAATTAAAGTGATTAAAAGGCAAAAAAATGGAATTAATTGATATGTGGCCAAACAAGCTAATATTATAGGTCAAATTGATCAGAAAACCTATTTTGGAAACAATGGCATTGTTACTTTTTTCATTTGAGGCCATTTTCACATACTTCCCTTTTGTGACTTAAGGTGGAAGCAACATAACCAATTCACTTCCTTTGGATCAGAAACAAGGAGCTACACATCCCATTCAATTCTAAATGGCATGAGATGAGAAATTCAAGTGAAATTGAGAGCTAGCACAGAGCAATTCGCAACTGTGGCATATGAGTTTTTCAAAGAGCATGAGATTTTCAATTTCTCATTTGGTTAGTTACAGGAACTTCTAGAGTGTTCTAATCACTTCTATATATTCATAGCAATGCATTCAGACCATTTTTTTTGGGCAAGAGGTGAAGAGAAACCAGAGCAAGGGATTGAAGTTGCAAGAGCTGCATCAAGAATCGGTTTTGGAGATTAAGGGGATTTCAAAGCAAATTGATTGTTTCAGAAGCTTGAGGAAGTGCTATTGAGTGATTCTGGAGAAGATTGGAGCTTGAATCGAGCAAAATCACCCTCTGTTCATCCATTTACACCAGGTTTGAATCTTTCATCTTTTGCTCTAGATTATAGGGAATTAGGTAGAAATGATCATGTGGATAGGTTATAGACTTTACTAGGATGGATTTCAGTACAAGAATCGAGTGTTTAGAGACAAAACTAGGTGTGATGCAATTTCTGTTGAAGCATATATCTTGAGATTCTTGAGGTTTGGATCATGTTTGGATAGCAAGAATTCATGCCTGATGCGTGTAGATGAGTTTAGGATCTTTAGTTTTAGGTTTTGAGATGATCAAGAATTGTGATATGTCTGAACTTTGGTTCGGTTTTGAAGATTGAGTGAGAATCAATGAAATTAGAGATCATATTCATGCTCAAGAGAGAAAAGCGAGTGAGATTGGGTAGCTAAGTGTTAGGTTTGATGCGT